CCAGCGACAAAAGCCTGCCTCTATCGACCATGACATCAGTGCCGTTTCCCACAGATGATACAGGAACTGCAGATGACAGATTGATTGAAAAGATCTTCCTCTCTCTCTCATACATCACTCTGGCCTCTTTATCATCGTCTTGCTGCTCAATCCATCTGCTGGAAAGAGAAGAGAATTCCATTTAGGCCAGCCCTGACCACCAGAGCAGCTTTATGCATCATATCCAAAGCAAGACAGCCATGATTTCTTCTCCTTTAATTCTACTTTGCCCTCCTCCTGACGATGGAAACGACTGGATGCTATTAGCCTTGTGAAGTTCGAGCTGCTTGATAATCTAATGCCAAAAGTTCTGTACTTTTGAGAGGTTGGGAGAAGCCTAAAATTTAATCTCAAGTCGTGGAGGGATTTGTCTGAGCTCCTCTGAAATGTTTGGAAGTTTCTTTTTTAAAATCTATTCACCTTGGCAATATGTTTAGAAAAAACGAGAGAAATGGAGAAAATTTTTATAATGCAAAGAAGATACAATATACCGTATGTATATATGTGAGGCGAAGCTCTAACTTCTGTATCACACTTATCTCTGTTGTAATGTCACCATAATGAGCAACTGCACGGATCAACACAGGCAGACTTTTGGAGATGACAGAAATGAAACACCTACGCAGCAACTCTGCAGGCAAACATATGCAAAATGATTCAGTAGCTACAAGCAAGTTTAAGAAGACTGACTCTTTTGGATTAACTTGGCTTTTCACTGTAATGCTTGCACATCATTTAAGTACGTCTGAGCATCTTTAGATATTTTGTGGACACGTGACCACTTATTATGTGACGTTAACTTCCTCTGCTATTTTGCATGTGTGACAACTATGGTGGCAGTATATGATAATATAAATAAGGTCTCATAACACAGCTGGTCTGTGACCATCTGGCAATCAACAATCAGGAGGGAAAACTGAGTAGTTGCAGCCAGTACCCAAGTGGTTGCTGTAATGGCAGTTGCTGGAAAAATGATTGCTATAAAGCAACATTTAAGCAGGCCTACAGACTGGTCAGTGACACTCTGGCAAAAATATGCAATCCTCAACTGGTTGGCAAGTGATTGCAACACACTGCTAGCTATCACAAGGTGCAAAAAACCCTCCTTGTGATTGTTTTAGTCACTAGCAGATTTCCATGGTTGCCAATAGCCAACTTATCTGCGAACGCTCTCCATTTAATCTCTGAGCTGCATTGAAGATTGTGTAGTGTAAAGCGCTTTGGGGTCCTTAGGGACTAAGTAAAAGAGCTATACAAATACAGGCCACTTACCATTTAAGATTGAAAAAATGTGCTGCAAACAGGAAACGAATAAAGTTCACCTTCAAAGTAAAAGTTCTTTATTTCCAATTTGCATGGTGCATTTCACATTTTTACTATTGCTTGGCATGTATTTGATGTTTGCAGACAAATCGCCATCTTCCATGCAAACTGGTGGCCATGAGGGCACCAGTTTAGTTCACTGGTTGAGCAGGTGTCTGTATTACCCAAGGCTGAAATGCAGCAGCCTGGTTATGCCTGGTCTGACCTCTGGGTACGAGTCTGAAAAAAAAAAACAACCCAAAAAACCAAAAACGAAGCAGTGACGACAAACCCTGTAGTTTTTCAGTGCATAAAGAAATTCCATTTTGCAATTGGTTTTGTGGTACTGACTGCCAGCAACTGGCCGTACAACATAGTTGCCGGGGGGGAATACAAATTTTTTACTGGCCAGTGGTTGCCAAGTGGTTGCCAGACAGTTGCAGACTAGTCTCTGTATCAGTGTGACTGTAATCACAAGGACACCCTCTTTGTGATTCCACTGAGCAACCAACAACACATTTTTCGCCAACTGTTTGGGTTATACCCGAGATTCCAGAGGAACTGAAGGTTTCCAGGGGATCAGTGGCTTCTGATTCTCCTTTCTGCAGTTTCATGGAAACTAAAAGAAACTACTCTGATGACACTGACTAGAAAAGAGACAGCAGACTTTTATTCATATTTCTTTTGTTAATATTCCCTTTAATAGACATGTGATGCATAACAATCACTGTAAGATAAAATTCAATGTCTTGAAAAACTTTCAGACTAATCTGAAATGGTTCGAGGTGTTTTAATATGAGTCATACCTCATAGATCAAAGCATATTGTGAGGAGAATGAATTAGACAGCTCCGTACATTAATCCTGCAGCTCTCCAGCAGTCTCAGAGAAGTTACTAAATTTCATCTCAGTAGCAGAAATCCAAAGACAGAGCACTGCTGGGAGAGAAGCCAGGGAGCAACATTGATTAGCAGCATTATCACCTCTATTCCTACCAGTTGTGCGCACACACATCGACACACACACACACACAGGCACTTCCAAGGTTATTGCAGGTTTCTTTCACTTTGATATTGGCTGCTGCACTCAGAGTGACAATGAATTTTTCAAAGCGTTGGATTTCTCACATACAAACAAGATTTTTTTTTCTTTCTTTCTTTTTTTTTCTCCTTTCAAATGAGCCAGATAGAACTGTTTTGTGAGTTATTAAAATCTGAAGAACTCACTTGTCTTGTCCATAAGGGGCTGCTATCTGATGCTTCAAATGATATGCATGATAGTATAAGAAAGCCTCTAAAAAGCCAGAGTGTAAACATACAGTCCACAGCATATGAGGATTGATTGGCCCATCACGCACAATCAGTTCTTCTAAAATGTCTCCTGGGAAGACTTTTGGTGGAGTGTTTTTTTCTTTTGATAGCCTGTTATATTGATGTTCTCAGCTTGTGCAGAGCAATTATGACTTCATCCCATCTTTCAGCATAAAAGGTAAACAAACTAAAATGAGAAAAAAATACGCTGAGGCTATTTTTGTATCCTTTGTAAGTCTTGCAATTGGAACACTGAGAGCTCTGCGTTCACTTGGGAACTGATCACAAGGATAGCGTTAGCAATTTGAATGGCTGAGGTAAAAATGCAACAAATAACACAAAAAATCCAGTCTGGCAGTGGCAAAAGTAAAAAAAAAAATACTGGTAAAATTGTAGTGTTACACATAGTCTCAACTGTTTTTATTTATCCACTTTTTAAGACAAAAAATTAAAATAGGATTGGTTTGAATTTTTGATTCAAAGCTACTTTACTACAAAAATATAACAACAAAACAATGAAAGTAAGCATATATTTTAAGGCTCTGTCCAACAGCCAGTTATTTAACATAGTTCAACTGTTTGTCAGTAATTTGGTTAAATATGACATTTATCAGATTTTAAAAAAAATTATATACTGAGATTAGAGCAGTTTCTTGGTTGGAAGCAGCTGACGGCAACTAGCTAAAACTCCAGGGCGTTCCTCATCCAGGCCCAAGTTATAATCTGGGAATGTTTCATTCCTGCACTTAAGTTTAGTTTAGAACTTATTGCTAACCAGTGAGCTTACAAGTGCTTGTAGGAAAATTACAATATCTTTAATTGGAGGTAGGCTATAACACTTTAAACAAGTGTTTGAGCTAAGATAAGCTAAGCTAAGTTAAACATGTACTAGCTGCATCTTCCTGCATAACCTAGCTGGGTGTGTCCTTATGAACTGGATGGGCAACAAACGTCGACAGAGTATTTGTTTCTAGTCACTTGCACATTGTATATGTACAAACTCGGGGTGTAAAGTAAGAACTCTTAAATTTTCTTAATTCTTAATTTCTTCTTCAGACTGAGTTTAGTTCATGTTTTTCCAGCTGAGGCCCAGCTCCGTCATCTAACATCCAGGACATCATTAGTCAAGCTAATCTGCTTTGTATTAGAATCGGCTTTGTTTGTCTGCATGTCAGCCACATCGTGGGCTGCTGTGGCACCTGAGCCAGAAGGCAGAACGATGCAGGTGATTAATGCAAGCCAGAGTTTATGATAAATAAACCCACCGGCCTCTCATCTCTCTGCTGTTGGAGGAGCAATGACAGCATTCTGTAATCTGTTGTAGAGAAAGCTTTACTGCCGCATTCTTGTTGGCGTCTATATGAAATGAGAATGTAGATAAGCGATGAGGTGGTGAGTGTGTAATCCATATGGTGCACATCTATCTGGGTTTGTTTTGCTTGTCAGTGACCCTGAGAGTGTGAGGCACAGATGTACTGCATCCTAAATGAGCAGGTGTTGTCCAAAACAGCTATTCCGATGCATGAGTCAGGCAGGCAGGCATGACAAATATTCATGACTGCTGTTGACATGGTGTTGAAGAAATTTCCAGAACATCCGCCTACAAATGAAACTTTCTCATCTGGCAAGTTTGTTTTTAAAGTTTCTTGTTCTGCTCGTCAGCTTTTAAATATTTATGAACGAAAAGGCTGGAGAGATTTGTAGGGGGGAGAAAACGGTGTTTAAACAGGAGTGAAGGTTGGCCAGACAGACACCACCCTCTTCTGGTCACTTCTAAAAACTGCGGATTGCAAAGGCGTGTCAGAACAGACAGGTCTCTGGACATCAGTATAGTGGTTTTAAAAATAAGAATCTATCAAATTAACATTTTTGTTTAATAGTGTGACTTGAAATGACTAACATATTGACATGATAGCATCACACAGTTGCTGCAAATTTGTTGACTGCACATCCATGACCTCACTGTTCTCTTCTACGACATCCCAAAGGTGCTCTATTAGATTGAGATTTGGTGACTGTGGAGGCCATTTGAGTACAGTGAACTCATGGTCATGTTCAAGAAAACAGTCTGAGATTATATAAGCTTTGTAAGATGGTGAGTTATCCTGCTGTAGGCAGCCATCAGATACTGGATATATTTTGGTCAGAGATGGAAATGGTCAGCAACAATACCCCCAAAAAGTGCCAAGAACATATTCCCAATATCATTACACCACCACCACCAGCCTGGCTATATGGCAGGATGGGTCCATTCTGACCCTACAATCCAAATGTTGCAGCAGAAATTGAGACTCATCACACCAGGCAATGTTTTCCCAACCATATGTTGTCCAAATGTGCTGACCTTGAGTGTTTAGTCTTACTTTCCTGTTCTTAGCTGACAGTCTGGTCTTCTGCTGCTGCAGCTCATCTGCTTCATGGTTTGACACGTTAAGGCTTCAGAGATGCTCTTCTGCACCCCTTGGTTGTAACAACTGGTTAGTTACTGTTGCCCTCATTGGAACCCATTTTGGCCCAGAGAACTGCCACTCACTGGATATTTTCTCTTTCTCGGACCATTCTCTGTAAACTACAGAGATTATGTGATCAGTAGATCAGCAGTTTCTGAAATACTCAGAGGAGCCCCTCTGGCTTCAAACATTTTAAAGTCAACAGATCATCCTGACCACATCACATCTACATACCTAGAAGCACTGAGTAGCTGCCATGTGATTTCCTGACTAGCAGATGAATAGGTTTACCTACAACACGTTCTCATCCTGACGCGTAAAATACAGACGATTGTGACGAGTCGATATTTTACACATTGGGAATGAGAGCTGGTTGGAATGAATCTGTTTTACGTGTGAAATGAAAATGATGAACCTGTCAAAGCATGATGTACGTTAAATCTGTTCACTTTCAGATCCTGAATCACTATGTGATGGCCACAAGATGAAGCTATTTTATTGTTGAATTATGAGTGATACTTTGTGTTTGTGTTGGAATGGACGGCTGGAGCCTCTGCTCGAAGCGTCTCATCGTATTATCACTGGATTGTGCAGTTTCCCCTCTATATCTATCTATCTACTTTTGTTTATGAGGCAAACGATGAGAGTGATGATGAAATTATTCCCAATACTCTCTGAATAATTACATCAGAATACATAATTTTTTTTAATACATTTTATTTGAAAAGGGAATACTGAGCATCTCATTTCCAAACCACCAACCTTTTATTTTATGTGCTAAAAAAAATAAAAGCTGGCCCCAAACAAATCATACAGATCTTATTTAATCACAAAAAAGATGCATATTGCAACAAAATGAATGCATGATTGTGAACACCATGCAGAGAGTGTTCTAGTTCAGACGTGACAGGCAGCTTTACTGCCAGCATGCTGTATATACCATCATATCATTACAGGGAGTACATTTGCATTAAAGGCAGTTATGCAGCACAGTTTCTCTCAGTCTCTCTTCACAACACACACCTAATACTTTTAAAAGTTGCACCCTTGCTCACAAAAATCACACATACACAGAAAAACATAAATGAGACAAAGCTTAGATTTGGTCCCAGATAACCAGAGGGGCAGTTAATTATAAGAACAAACTAATCGATATTAATGATCAACGAGGGAATTTTTGGGGGGAGAGTTTTGCAGATTGCTTTGTTGCTCATGCGTCTGCACAAATTTAAAAATGCTAAAAACTGAATATTTTTCTGTGTGTGAATCAGACGTCTGTATCGACACTCTGGTTAAAGAGCATCAGAGAATCATAGATTACAGGAATTGTGCACAGACCTTCAATTTTTCTTCCTCTGTTCTCAAAATATGTCGATATTTCATATTTCTGCTGTGCAATTGTTTTTCTTAACACAGAGGTGGCTTTTTCCATGACGCATTTCAAAAAAAAAAAAAAAAAAAGAAAGAAAGAAAAGGAGTAAATAAAATTCCCAAAGTATAAAGACCACAGGCATTTTTTCATAAACAAACACAGTTTTAAATGAGAAATAAAACTGATAAAAAACATTTATGGTATATTACATATTTATAATATGAGGATAAATGTAAAACAAAACATTTCTATTAAAAAAAAAAGGTTAGCAATTGCACATAGGCTAGAATATTTCACTGATAAAGGGGGAAAATGGCACTGTTTTTTAAAAATAGATCAACATTTGAACAAAATTGTACATTTGCTTTTCCTAAGTCTTTCTACAAAATGAGGCCTGTTTGTTTTTAATAAAACACGTTAAAAATAAAAAAGACCCAACAGATGCGTGAAGAAAACGATGCGGTTTTAAAACAGACCCTTGCTTTTCTTCAGATTCTTTTGCTTCCAGTTTGGCAGAGCGTTGAACTCAACGCGACTCATCTCAAGAAGTTTCTATAAAACATTAAAAGTGAGCGGAAAAATAAATGTCGGCATTTATAACATTTTTCTTTATTTACTGAATTTAAATGTAACAAATAATTCTAATGGCCACGGAGCGTGTCCTACCTTGAAGTCCTGGTCTGAGAGGTAATCCTCCAGACGCAGAGGGTCCACTCCCTCTGGCAGCGGTTTCCTGGTCAGCTCCTCGATGGAGTACTGCTGCTTACTGAGCTTGGACAGGGCCTCTTTCACCAAGATCACTTTTTTGGAGAGCCCAGCCTGCGAACACAGAGGCAGAAATACTCTACTTTCTATTTTTTCCACATTTAAGCTCAAACTCTGTCTTTTTGCAACACATTTAATCAAACATAACACCTGAATAAAAGGAGAGAAAACAGCACTGCACTCTTGCTGCGATGTGTGGGACAAAATAATCTCCAGTTCAAGCTGTGACAGCTCCCTGACACCAACACTTCATAAGACAGACTGCAGTAAAAGACAAGCCATCACCCACCTTTGAAGCGATATTGGGGTCCTTCTCCCAGTATGGGAAGATGTTGGTGAAGGTCAGGGGTTCACAGCCTGCTAGGATCAAATAGGCCAGAGGGGGGCGCCGAGGATTCTTCTCTGTAGGTCAATGTTGTATTGAAAAACAGAAGGAAAACATAAGCCAAAAAAGAGACCGGACATTTAAGTACAGAATATTAGAGACTTTACATAAGAACAACATTACTCAGACAAACACGTTACTACGAAAATCATTCCTGCATGACTCGACTGTTAACGTGAAATCTGTGATCTGAAGATTTTTATGGCCTCTCTCTTTGATTTCTCTTCTTTTCTTATATTTAAAAATGATGATGAAGTATTTGTGAAGAATATTGCAAAACTTTAAATAAAATGTTCAAAATGCTTGTGTGTGACCTCTGACCTTTGCAGTACTGCAGCACAGTTTCCATGGCGCACTTCCTCTCGCTGTCCCAGCGCATTTTCGCAGATCCGGTGCACTGTGTGTCTTCAGGCTGCCAGCCCTGCCACAGATACACCTCCATACGGTTGTCGAGCAGAAACAAGGCTGAAGAAGAAATAGTGATGTGATAAGATAGCAAGCCATAACATGATTACACTGAACTTTTGTGTTGCGTTTGAACTGTTGCAAAATATTTGTGATGCATGTGGCATTAGCAGGCATTCCTCTTGATTCCATCTTTCTTCATATCTGTAGATGTTTGCTGAAGATAAGCCTGAACTTGCTTCGCTAACTTTAAACTTTCTTTAGGAACTGAAATGTAGAAATAACTGAAATGCGACATTGCTCGCAGCTTGTGTTACCTGGTTGTTGTGCTGCGTAGAGGTTCTCCTGCAGGAAAGGCATCGCCATGACTCCTTCTGCTACCCTGGCGGGATACAGCACCTCCTCCCCTTCAAACACCCCGGAGCTCGCACTTAAGCTGAAGAGCCGCGGTGTGTGGTTGTACTTTCCTGGATCTGCAACACACACACACACACACACACACATATTATCTCTCTATCTACATATCTACATTCTGCTAAACACCTGGATAGTTGCTAAGCAGCGCATGTTGGGCCGTACCATCCAGCATACAGTCGTAGGCCTTCTTGTCTTTCAGACCCAGAGCCTTCACAAACTCCGCAGGTTCAGATCCTTCCTCCACCTCCTCCACTTTCACGCTGCTGCTGAGGCTCAGGCCTAACTCTGACGGATGCCTTGAAGACACAGACACACATGTGTTGATCCGCAGCCGCAGCCAAACATCCATTCATACATTTACACATCCTGTGCCTTACCTCTGGGTTAGTTTGTCCACTGCTCTTTTGGCCACCTGCTTGGCGCTTGCATGAGCTTTGCAGCCGTGCCACAAGTAGAGCTGGCCTTTCTCAGCATTAAGCAACACCAGGCTGCCACGAGAGCGCAGACTGCTATGCTGGCAGTCCACCTCCACCAGCAAGGCCTCTGACTCTGCCTCACCACGGACACAAAACAACCTCCAGGCTTCTGCAGAGGTGAAACAGACGTGGCATGCTTTCATGTTTTCTACCAGAACCACCTAAATAATTCATTCGGTTTATGAAATATTGTGAGGCTTTAATCTTTTACAACAAGTCAAAGTTTCAACATGACATTTTTTAGGTTACCTGTGTTGTTGGTGTTGTTCTCTCTGCTGCCCTTGTGGATGATCAGACCTCCCTGGAAGAGCTGCAGGAAGCAAGGAGGTTCTTTTCCCTGAGTCACCAACACCTGGAGAGCCACCCGCAAAGAAAAAGGTGAACAAAGCTGGATCTAAATTTACTTTCAACAAGCAGGGATTGTGATTCTAACACTTATTGTGGTTATTTTTGGTGCATCTGTGACTCACCTGTGACCCCCTGTGGCTTCCGAGCTCCACCGTCATGAGAGCGGAGGTTCCTTTCTCACTGGCGCTGGAGTGGCGGCCCTGCCAGAAAAAATACGCAGCCCTCTCTCTCCCAGGACCTCCAGCGCTCAGCTCCCCAGGTTTCTGCCGCTTCCCCACTGGAAGAACAGAGCACAGAAAACCTTCTGCTTATTCGGTTCAGGCTTTCAGTGACATAACAGTCAGCTTTTCTTCACATGCTGTTCTGATGAATGTGTGCCAACATGGCAAGCATGTGAAGCCACACAAATTTATTATTATTATTATTTTTGCTCGCATCTTCTTCCACTATTTATTCTGAGGCTGTGCCAAAATGTGACTCACCGAGCGTGGTGACAGAGTACTTCCAGCGGATGATGTAGGCGTCGCCCTCGTGCAGCTGGCCCAGGCTTTCCTCAGGCACTTCCTCCTCTCCGTGCTCTCTTATGTGCCACGCCTCTACGGCCACGGTTGCTAACTCTGCCTGCCTCCCATCCTCCGTCCTCACCAGGCCGTGACCCCGCTGGACATTGATGCCCTCCAGAATGGTCTTCACCGGCTCCGGCTCATTGTTCAGCAGATCTTTAGCGTCACATGGGTGGAGCTCCAAGTCAAGTGGGGCGCGCACAGTGGAGTGGACCGGGCTCTGAGCAAACCAGGACACTTTTAATTAGCTTTAAATTTGTTACTTTGAAAAAACAAACCCAAACAAACAAAACAAATCTCCTCTACCTTAACTTCCTCAGCTTGAGCCGCTTCCTCTTTCTTCCTCTCAGCCCAGTCCAGGAACTTCTCTCTGAACAGGGACGTCTCATTGTGCTCTGACAAACGACCAAACAGAGCCCAGCTCGGACGACCTTCCCCTTTCCTACATGTCACACACATGAAAGTTACCTTTAGTATTTTTAGTGTCTTCTCTGTGTGGCTGTACATGCACAGTGAGACCACTAGGGGCTGCAATATAACTAAAAATCTAACATAGCTCTCCGCTTGAACAGACAATAGAGGTTTCTGGCACAACTTCACCTACTTCCAAAGTGCATAGAGAAGAACAAGAGTCTGAAGAGGTTGAAGCTCCAGCTGCGCATGCAGTTTAAAGAACAGCTTTATTACTTAACCAAACAATAAAGCTGTTCTTTAAACTACGTGTGCTGCTGAAGCTCCAAACTTCTTAAACCATTTATAGCTGCTTTAAATGTGAGATGACCACATCATGCATTTAAAAAGCACCCCACAGAGAACAGAATACAGGATTAACATGTCACACTCACTGAGGCGTGTTCTGGTCTGTGCAGGAAGCATCCAGCGGGTTGACTCTGCAGTGGCTGTAATCGTAGCTGCCGCTGTAGAGCTGTTTGCCTAGTTTGACGGCCACTTTTCTGTCGCTCAAGGGCACATCTTTCCCGTGCCACACGTACACTTCGCTGCCAAAATCAAACACCAACACCTGGTGTGAGACAACAGCAGCAAGAGGAAGGAGGAGAGAGAGACGTTGGTTAAGTGTTTACTGAAATCTCTGTCTTGACTTTTATGGACGTGTCCTAAAGATCTTCAGCTTCCTGTAAGCTTTTAAAGACTTAAGGCTTATAGGAGAATGAAATGGACTGAGTTTCTATTCCACTTATCAGAACTTCCCAGACATATGAGTGACATCACCTCTTTAGAGTCGAGCAAGGACACACTTGGGATAGAGGCCCAGGCGTCTTCGTGAGGCACCAGCTTGTCTCCCTGGAGTCTGTACACGCCATTAGAGTCCACCACGCCACTCTCGTACAGCTCATCCTCCTCTGGCTCTCCCGCCCCTACAATCAAAAACAGGGTAAGCACATGTGTGTGGTGGAGTGGGGGCTCAGTGGTTAGACAGATAATCCTTCAAGAGGATAAGAGAAGTGCTCTAAGGAGAGTTTGACAGAATATCTACTGGTGCTAGTCAGTATTATTAGAGATACAGATGTCAGAGACTGTGTTGGTGTTTACTTATGAAAATGTGTGCACGTACCTCTGTATTTGGTCTTTCCACCCAGCAGGGTCCAGAACTCTTTGGCCCATCTGCTCTCAGTGTTGATGCCCTCCTCCAGCACCGTCACCTGAGGGGCCTTACAGCCGAGGTCCCTCTTAGCCTGAACGAACGCCGCCATCTCCGACGCCTGTCCACACAAAGCACACGTTACAGCAAATACACAGCAGTCACATTTTTTTCTAAATGTGTAAGAGCAGACACATATTAGCTCATTTAATCCATCTGTAGTGATCGGACTTTGTGAAAATGAGAACACAAAGCAGTTACACTATGCTAACTTGTGTGAGAATAGCACAGGCAACACTTGTGGCTGTCCCACATTCTGCAGGCCCTACTCAGACAGGGCCCTCACCCAACCAAATCAAGTATTCCCAGTAGTGAGAAAAGAAATGATGAAATAGAGGTGGAGGAATCATCTGAACCTGTCTCAGCCGGGTTGGGTCTTATTAATTCAGAAATTCTCTAACCATAAGAATCCGTCACCCTGTAGTGTCAGCTCTCCAGCTCAGGCACAGCCTTTGATCTACTGATGAAATTCAGCTGATATAAACACTGACACCATCGTCTACTTACCTGTATATGTTTGAGGGTTCAACGTATCCCTGTTTATATATTTTATGTTTTTATGTTCAATATTTTACATTTGGAAACAAACATGTTTTAGGTTGAACTCCTAAAACCAAAGTGGTTCTCTGTTGCATCTCTTTAGTGTGATGATTGTTTGAGTCACAGATCAAACAGTGTAAAGACGTCTTTATGTTTGAGACCTTATTTTGGTTTCATGGATTTTAAGATTTTTGGTTGAGACCTCAGGATCTTCAGAGAGAAATTTGTTAAACTCACTTTTCACGTGAAGATACTGACATATAATAACTGAAAAAGTTCACATAACATGAACGTCTGACAAGCTTTTTTGATTTCAGTGGCAGAAACAAGCTTTCATACATTACACAATGCAATAAACACGAGAGCAGCAGAGATCACCTCCCACGGGACAGTGTCCCTTTGGTAGGTATAGTTAAAGCCTTTTATAATCAGTTTGTTTCAACTCTGAATATATCAAACATCAAACTTGATCCTGCAGTTCATGATGGAAACAGCCCGTCAATGCACAACATTATCTGCTCTGAATCTCTTTGTTTTTTCAAATGTGGTCATTAGGGTGCTGATTCAGTGTGTGAGGTTCACTACCTTTGCTTTCTCAATGACATTGGCGAACTCTCCACTCCACATGTAGCAGTGCTTTGGTGTTATCAGAAGAAAGCAGTCACCACTGTTTAGAGACTGAGCTGTGGGCTCCACCAACCGAACCTGGACGTGCCTCCGGCCTTCACAAAGTAACAAAAAAAGATCTTTTACTTATTTGAAACATTAAAGGGATTTAAACTGTGGAAAAAAAGAAGTTGATTTACCAAATATTTTTAAGAAATGAAACAAGAAACATTTTACTGAACCTTTGATCGCTTCAATATTCAACACGTAATCATAGAAAGAGTTAATCCCCTCGTGTTTCCTCACCTTTGATGCGGATAAGCATGAGCTTATTGAAAGGAACTGCACTGTTATTGGTCACAACATCAGTGGACTTCACACTTCGCAGGTTGACCTTGCGAAAGTTTTCCTTGCTGGCCAGACCGGCCAAGGCAACGTCAGCCAGGTTCGAGTGTTTTGCCACTGGACAGGTGAGAAAACAAGAACAGGGACTCAGTTACACATCAGCTCTTGAAATATTAAACTGTTTTGAGGTTTTGATGATTTTCTGTTCCTTTTTCTAATTCTTCATAAACAAAGAGACGAGACACACTTTAATTATTTCTTTCATGTGAGCTATACTAGCACACAGCACACATAGCTGTGGTGCTCACTTCCTCTTTTGTAAACCGTGAAGACGTCACTGTGGTCAGTCAGCAGAGTAGAATACTTGTTCAAGCAAACATCACACTAATATGATGCAATAACCGGCTGGCAACAGCCCCACAGCTTTACCTGAACATCATTTTCATATTTTCTTCTTACATACAGTGTGTTTACGTTACGGCTGATTCACGGCATAAACAAGAAATTCACTCTCCAGACATATTTCCTGTATAAAATAATTCACTGACTTTAATGTGATTTTTTCCTTTTTTAGAAATAACCCTTTTTGTGCTCCTTTAAAGCTATCCAAGACTTTCTGGCTATCTTGGGTGAGAATATACTGTAAGCACTGCTACAGTAGGAAAGTTTGAGCACTTACTCCTCTCCACTTGGATCCTCTTGGTCTCCACGGTGGCTACGTTAAGCCTCTGCTCGGTGTAGACCTGCCTGATGTCATTGCGGGCAGCTAAAGCTCGCAGAGGGTTCCTGGAGCCTTGGTTCCTTCTGGCTGGTCGCACGGCTCGCTTGTGCTCTGCTACTGCTGAAGTGAGCCTGATGACAAAGTTTAGGAACTTAAAAATATTATAATACTAAAAAACAAAGGACAAAAAACCCATTTATGTTTATTACAAACTTACTTTGGCGACTCAGTCGGGATCTGGCTTAGGTCTTCCTCAGTCACCACCATGCCGGCGTCCTGGATTGCTGAGGGCGAGACGGATCTGTAGAAGTTGCCGAACGTCTCTTCGTCGTCCAGCTTCATCACTTCTTTCTCCATCTCTGCTGTCACCTCGATGGTGGATGTCTTGCTTTTGCTCACGCCTGCGCCCACCAGGCATAACACCGGCAAGAAGAAAAGATGGAAAAGGAAGTGCTAAAAAGACTTTTTGTGCATAACATTTCTGCCATTTTACAGGTCAAAGGTCACATGTGGTGATGGATGTCCTGCGATGTCCTGTCTGTTGCCTCCACATGTTGAAGTGGTCAAAATCAGGTTTGTTTGTTTTTTGGCAAAGACACAATGTTTGTAGTTTTGCCTCAGCAAACGATCAGCAGTGGATTTTAAATCAAACATTCAAGATGTGATTGAAATGCAGATTTTCAGCTTTATTTCAGTGGGTTTAACTACAGCTCTAGATTTTAACTTTGGAATGACACATTTTTACAGACTCGGTATAATCGTGTACTATACGATTGTGCAATACATCATCAAATTCAATACTGTGTACAATAATCAGAAGCAGAGAAAGTGTACCTTTATTGTGGAGCTTGTCTAGGAAGGACTCCAGCTTGTCAAGCCGTTTATCTCCTTCCACCTTGACATCAGATCGAGTGGAGATTTCTGTACAGCAGAGAAAAACTCATTTACTTTTCAGTGGATTTTCCAACTATCTTTTTCATCTGTAATTAAGTGGCAGTTTGAGCCATATTTAATCATGAATATACTTTTAAAAGATCTTTCAGTGAGGTATTAGAAAGATTTACAGACCTTCAAGAGGTTTGACGGGTGTTGCATTAGCCTTCTTCAGAGCTCGAATGGGTGACTCTTCTACTCCTGACACGAGACCTTGCAAAAAAAATAAAACGTTTCAGTATTGGTTATTTGTTTGTTTCTTTTTTGGTCTTTAAATTCAAATGTTTGGTTTTTTGTGACTGTCTGGACTAAAGAGATATTTGTATCTACTTTACAACGAGTGCATTCAACCAGACGGCTTGGAAACGTCCTATTCAAAGTAGTACGCTTTGTGTAATCAAATATAGGTCGTCTGCGTCTGTTGGGAGGGTTGGATTTCTGTGTATAATGTTATAAGGGCTGCAGTTATTAGGATTGTTGTCAGTGGAAAACAATGAGCTTATTCAGGCCAACTAAAGCCCAGAGTATAGTTTCACCTTTCTTGGCCATGCGTCCAGCCACAGTGAACTGGTTTGAGTCGTTGGCCGCTCCTTTGCCTTTGCATTTCCACTGCTCCTCCTTCTCCTTGAGAATTTTCATCCTGTCTGCCAGCGACATTTTGGGCTCCACATCTACGTTGGATTTCTGTTGAAACATTCAAACACTTTCAGCTTTGTGTTTGTTTGTGTGTGTGTTTGAATGCAAATCTGTTAAGGCTTACACTCTGATAAACTGTGTACACAAGAGCAGACACACATGAAAACTTGGTGCAGTAACTATGAGAGAGAAAAAAGTGTTGCATCAGGAAAACAGACTCTGATGAGGGTGAAGGAAGGAGAGTGAAACACTCATACAGGCAAATATTACTCTGTCAGCGAGTTAGGAAAATTTAATACTGGCAACAAAAACAAAGACCTTTTTTTCTTTTTCAAATCCATCTCTCACCCATTATTCAGCACACCGTTTCTTCTGTGATTTACTCCTGCTGCCATTTTTGCACCTGAACTCGACCATTAAAAGGGAATCGGCAGTAGTTTACTGGCATCCCTACAGCCCAGGAACTGTGTTGCGGTAATTAATGATTTTCCAGTCTGAAATATTTAGGTTGTTTCTGTCACACTTTTCCCATTGCTGTCTAATCAGTAAGTCACACCGTGCGCAATGTGTGCCTTAGTTTTTGCAGTTGATTACACACAGCTTAGTCAGTGACTGCACAGATTTAAAACAAAAAAAACAAAAAACAGAATTAACTGCTAACCAAGCATGGAAGGTCATAAAAAAGGTCTACACGATTAGATTTTACATTTATTTATGCATGCAAGCTGTACGTACAGCATTTAAGCAGCGCAGGATGAAAGCTAATGTTTGGGATTCCCCACACCAAACAGCTGGAATGTTCTCGGCAGATGAGTAACGATCTGTGTGATCTGTTGACTCTTACTCTATAACTCATCGCCTCATTTTTACTGTAAGCTCAAAAACCTTAAACTCTTACAGATGCTAGAGGCAGCTTTAAAGAGAAAAACATATTTAGCTAAATTTGGGATTAACAGAGGTTCAAAAGAAGCTGTCTGTGCAGTTTATTGTTGTTTTCATTATTTTTCTAACACTGAAGTGACACGAAATCATTTGGCAAAACAATTTGAAAAAACTACCATCTTCTTCTTCCAGATGTTTCGCCAAAGCAGATCATCTTCCTCCATCTGGTCCTATCCCTCGCATCCTCCTTAATCACACCAACTCATATCATCCTTCAAGGCATCCATGAGTAAACGTCTAATAGCAATTTAAACTTTATTATGTACCATAAATGTACCATTAGGTCTCTCTACAGTTGTTGTTGCAAATTGCTAAGTACAGTTAAAAGAAAACGTATGCAGACACAAATCTCTGTGAGGGCAGGTTTACACTCAAGCACCACGTCAAGCCAGTCAGTTAGGAGACAATTATGTTTTTAGGTAACATAAAACAGAAATCAGAGTGCAGTCATCCAGTTAATCCTCCATTTTCTTTTTAAATACTTGGATTTACAGCTTCTCTCCCATGTAGATAAGACAGCGGGGTCCTGTTCAGTGTTTCATATGAGATAACAGACTTTTGTTGATGCTCCAACAGGCACAAAGTTGGAGACCCAAGGTCAGATCAGCACACTCCAAGAACAATCCATCGGGCATTATCTCATTACCTTCAGACATCACTTAGTAGGAAAAAATAATCCTTTTGTGAATCAAGAAAAATCATTTTTGATCAGCCAATAAATCGCACATCTATAGAGCACATCCAGTCTCATATTTAACAATATTAGAGATAAAACATATCTTTGGCCTCTGCTATATTTAGCACACTGAAATATAATAAATGTGCTTTTTTTACTGTGTATGAGAAAATGGAAAAACGAAGGGGGAAAAAAAGCATGCTGACATGCTCAAACAATTATCCACCAAATCAAATCGCACGTTCTCCCTCTCCTTCCGCGTCTCGCCATTTCAACCTGAACTTTATTTTGTGCTTTCATATCGAATGTGCTGCCATATGTGCTCAAATATTTGCCTTACATGAGACAAAAGCTCAAAGAATTAAGACTGAACCATGCTGGAATGCACAGACACCTGGATAGGCTAATAAAGAGCTTTTCTACTCTAACAGACAAATCCCTCTAAAACATTCCTGCTCTTTTGCTCATCTCACACACTAAAGGGTGAGAGTTACTCTACAAGGTGCTCTGTGTTTTTCTTAAAATCACTTCAAGAGCCAGAAAGCCCGAATAAACATTTCTGCATACCAATAACACACTTTTGGACTACAGGACTAAGTAAAGTCTGCTTCTTGCAGTCAAAAACTACAACTTCAACCCCTTCCATATTATATTTCATGCCTGCTATAATACAAACAATATCTCCCTAATCACAAAGTCTTGGAACAACTCTCACACACTTGCACATTGCGATAGCCCTTCAAGCTAGCACGCTCCTCTGGAGTCAATCAGAAAAGGGAAATACCTTGGCCTGACAGGACCCCGGAGAGAGTGGAGGAGAGGAAAAGACCTCAAAGCCCCACAGGAAACCACTTTTCCACCCCCGCTTTACCGTACAGTGTGGGCAGCTTTTTGGGCGAACCACTAACACAGATATCAACCACCTGTAGTTCAGCAGACCGCATTCATGTAGCGAAAGAAAGTGTGTCGACAGCTCTGAGTTCTCAGTGGGACTCGGTGAGGGCGAGAGGCTGTCCGGGACACAAGTTGAGAAATACGAGCGAATGTTAAGCAGTTAAGTCCATGCATTGTATGTATGTGTGCACGCACACACAAACACACGCACACTCACCTGAAGGGGTGGGGAAAAGATGCCAAAGTCAAAGAAAGGGGAAGAGTCTGCATGTGAGGACAGAGGCCATAGGAACACAGCAAGACAGAGGAAACTAAGGGAGGGAAAATATAAGAGGAGAAGAAGAAAGGAAAAATATAACAAAAGAAGAATTAGAAAAGAAGAAGGGCAACAGTAAAGACAAGGATTATTTTTATAGCATAAAGTGGGTGAAGCTGAGACTGTTTTAAAAGCTGCATTAAGAGACAGCACATATGAGTCTCTGTCGATCGCTAATAGACTCTCTAATAGACTTTCTGGGAACAACACACATAAGTCTAATGACTAGTTAATGCACTTAAGTTTCTGTGTGGGGCCTGCACTGTCAGTGTGTTAGCTTGTGGAGGGATGCCAGACTGTTCTTTGTTAAGTCATCTCTGAAACATGAAACCCAAAAACTTAGCAAGCCTTCAAGGATTATACAGCAAACAATTTTAAACAATCTTTAAGAGTCAGTATGTTTTTGTAAAGGACACCTAAAACAGCTTGGTTTTTTATGTTATTAACCATTAGCTCAAAACGTGTAGCCATCACTCATTGCAATTTATGACTAACAGGCACAATAGACCCTCTTTAAATTAAATTTACAACAAAGCATCACTTTACAGCACCACTGTGTACAGATCAGCTTAGCAGGCTTAACAGGAAACATCTGGAGCTGATCATGGCCTGTACCATGCGTGTTACATTTTCTGGTCTTCCACATAGTAACCGAAGAGTAAAAACATCTGAAATAACTTGGCAGCGTATGAGATAAGAGAAAGTGTTTAACATGAAAACTCGAGTCTGACTGATTCTGGATTTTTGAGGCTGTGAGAAAAAACAGATCTATTAGACAGGATTCTTTGGACAAACTATGTGAACGCACATGTCCATTTACTCAAAGCTTTCCTCTGTCTGAAATTGAATCACTAGACACTTTATTAGATGCATATGTTCAACTGCTTGTTCATGTAAATAACCAGCCAATCACATGGCAGCAACTCAATTCATTTATATATGCATACATGCTTAAGATGACGTGTGCAAGTTTAAACTGAGTATCAGAAAGGGGAAGAAAGGTGATTTAAGTGAATCTGGACAAAGCATGGTTGTTGGTGCCAGAAAGGGATTTGCTGTGATTTTCCCAAACAGTCATCTCAAGGCTCAGGGAATGACATGAAAAGGAGAAAATATCCAGTTAGTGGCAGTTCTCTGTGTGAAAATGCTTTGTTTATGTCAGAGGTCAGAGGTGAATGGTCCGACTGGTCTAAGCTGATAGTTTCAAAAATTACCACGTTATAGGATGCAGAAGCGCATCTCTAAACATACAACACATCACACCTTGAAACAGATGGGCTACAGCAGCAGAAAACCATACTGGGTGGGGTTCTCTGCTGTTGGCATCTGTTAGTGAAGAAAAGGAAACTGAGGCTACATTCAGAGGGACTCACCAATACTGGACACTAGATGCTTAGTCTCATGAGTTTCAATTTCTACTGTGACATTCGGACGGTAGGGTCAGAATACGGTGTAAAAACCATGGAAACATGAATCCATCCTGGCTCAAAGGTTCAGGATGGATACATGGTATGAAGTCAACAGATCGCAAACTGATAGAGTACCTTAGGGATGTAGTGTAACATGAGATTTGCATCATGGATGCAATGAACTTGCAGCAAATATGTGATGCCAAGGATGAAAATCCCAGAGGAATTTTGAAGCATCTTCTTGAATCAATCCCAAGAAGAATTAACGCAGTTCTGAAGGCAAAAAGTGCGTCCAACCCAGTACAGGCAAGGTACAACTAATGAAGTGTCTGACAACTGCTTGTGCATCTGCTACATTTCAGACAACTCATACCCCAGCGTAGATATATCGGCAATAGGCCAATATCAGTTGGTAATATTTGTCTGGCTCTAATGAAAACCGATGGCCTTTCCACATGAGAGAGACATGTTCCACATGGGAGTAAATGCCCCATGGCTAATGCAGACATGGCACTAATGCCGGTAATTTAGTCAAACCCTGTATTAGCTGCATCCGTGACATAAGTTGGTTTCCCAGACCTCTACAGTAGCAGCCACAATAAACAGTAGGTTCCAATTCACAAGCCTCAGACAGAAGTAAAGGAAGCGATCCAGAGACATTTCAGACACCAGCTTGGCACCCGTTCATGCGTGCGAGTGTTGAGGATGCAGTTTTTGTGCCATCACTGGAAATACACTAAAAAAATTTTTTATGGCTTTAGCATGGATTTATCAGAACGAATAAAGACCACACAAATATGAAATGACATCATGCTTCAGTATTTGGGGATTTGCTCAAATTTTGGCTGCTTGCACTCACTCATAAAGTGGCTTTTTCCAGACCTGGATTTGTTCTAACGTTAGCTCATATTTGGATGAACCCAAACCAGTAATCCCCCGAGAAAAAACACTGATCTTGACAGACACCCAGCCAAAAATAAAAAATAAAAATATATAAAGAAATATGACATCATTTCAATCTTAAGAGTCCATTTAACCGTTTTGGGGATGTCCATGCAGAACACACTGGATTTTTTTCACTTGTGCAGTATCATCCAGTACAAGCACTTTCAGTGGACTGGTTTTTGTATGGTGTAGTCTTGTGTTTCCACTTGAATACTTGCTTTGTGTGGGTGGTCATGTTTTTGTAGAAAAGAAGAGCGTGTAGAAACCTGCATAAACTTGCATCACTGCCAAGTACGACAGTTGCTTTAGCATGTATCTACTAGACCGTTTACACTGACCTGTGCAAAACCGTATGATCTGGATGTTTATATATATTTCTGAGAAATGAAAGTCTGTTAAGAACAAAAAAGCTAACCCTGTGGAGGAAATTATTGTTTTAACTTAGAGAAGTGAAGAAGAAAGGAGAGTGCAAAAGCCAACAAAGGAAGGAAGCATAAGCTTGGAAGGCTTGCAGGTGTTTGGTCATGGTGTAGGATTTTATTTTTACAAGGGGTAAAAGGTGTGTCCTTCATTCTCTCTGGCAGGCTAGCTAAGCCCTGGATCTCTGGCTTTAGCATTGCCACTCCTATATCCGCTGCACCGCCAAGCCCCCCTGACCTCACACCTCTTTGGCAGCAATTCAGGCAAACAAGCTGATTCAGCAAATGAATACATGTGTCCGCAGCCAAGTCTTTTCTTTGCCTTTACACAAAACTGATGGTAATCTGCAACATATGGCTGTTTTTGCTCATTACCACCCTTTTCCCAGTGAAGAAAAAGCCCTGCAACCCTGCCAACACAATAGCCTCCAGCAAAAATGACCAATATAAAGTTTTGTAGAGGTGCAATTTTACAAAGTGAACAAGTTTGCGACCAGCAATCACATATTTGTTCAGTAAGTAAAAACTCACCTTTTTCTTCCAGGCACCTTCAGCATCTTGGAGCTGGTTGAAGCGGTCAGCCAGTGACGTCTGGAGCACCTGAGATGGCCTCGCCTTCTTCGGTGTGTCCTTCTCACCTTCTCTACCGAGCTCAGCCAATCTAAAAAGAAAACAAGACACATGAATCCTTTTTGCTTCTCTTTAAAAGTCTGAACCTTTCAGTAATTTTAAAGAAGTTTAAATTTCCATCTTATGCATGATATTGATTTTTTTGTCTCAATCATGTTTCTCCACATGCTGACCTCTGTTTGAATGATGAGCTCTGACTTCCATCCAAACTGCTCTCGAGCTCCTCGACATCTTCTGACATTGTGGAGGACTTCTCCAGGCTCTCATCAGGGGAGGGACTCCGCATCTCCTCATAGCTCCCTCCACCGCTACTGCTGCTGCTCCCCCTCTGATATCTGTTGATACTGATGCACCCTCCATCTGGGATCTCATCTGTTAATGACTCATCCTCTTTGCCATTTTCCCCATTAACCTCTTCTTCCATCTCTTCTTCCTCCTCCTCCTGCTGCTCCACCTCTTCCCGCTCTTCTTCTTCTTCTACCTCCACCTCCTCCTCGTTGTCTTCACTCTGAGGGTGGCTTAGGGTGACACTACTTTGTTGTGTAGGAAAACGGTCAGGCATGGAGCCGTCGCTGTGGTCTGACTCCACACTAGTAGAGCGGCTTTTCTTTAGGATTCCCTTGATGCCTTGAGGCCCCGAGTCTTGGCGCTTCAGCACAGCGGCAGACTGGCAGGGAGGACTGGGAGGGGGAGAGGCGTCTCTGTTTCTGCTGAGTGGGAGAGCTCTGTCAGAGTGGAGACTGGAAGACTGTAGAGGGGAAACAACACAGAAGGGTTTTTTTAAATTTATTTTTATTAGCAGCCATTATAATATGAAAAGAAACCCTGCAATACAACTTTTAAATCTAACAGCTTTCTCAGTTTTTCGGCATTTAGAGTGAAAATCTATTTTTCTTTCTCCCTCTCTTCTCCATATTTGTACAACCTAATACAATCAACACAAAGACAGATTCAAGTGCTTACTCACTGCTTTCAGTGACCTACTCCCACGTTAAGGTTAGTGAGTCACATTAAATATGATGATGACTTAGCCTCACTTCCCCCCCCCCTCTAAGAATGTCAACATATCAAATACGGATATTGTCAACAAATCTGAAAGACTTTTTTGTCTTTTGCAATATAAGGAAAAAATTCCGATAGAGAAACTGGTGTCAGAAAGCAAAGCTTTTTGAAAATATTAGAAATTCCAAGGCCAGACCATGAATTTCTTCCCTGCAAAAAGAGGAGGCATGATCATGTCTTTAATATGCTATAACTTAGCAAAAGCAGCTGTGACAGCAGACACTAAGAGGTCAAAGGTGATGAGAGGGTGCTGATTTAGGAAGAGACGCACAAAGAAGTAAGACTGCAAAGCCAGCTGGGTGTAAGAGTAAAGTCCAGTGCTAACTCGGTGGTCTCCTTTAATGAACTCCAGAGTTCGATACGTGTGTGGGCATTTACACGAAGAAGTATGTGTGTGTACTTCATCTGATTACTTTCGAGAATCGGTTTGGGTCACGTTATAATATTTTGTCCAGATGAGGGAGTTATAAATCAAGTTTACAAAAAAAACCAAAACCAAAAACCAAAACAAAAAAAAAACTAAACTAAACTAAACTAAACCAAACCAGACCAGCAAAAAACAAAACCAAGCAAAGAGTTTTGGAACTAGAAATTGCAGATGTCTAGAAATAGGACATTATTAAATCCAGTTCTTTTGGATTCTTTAGAGCCAAGAAAGACACGGCTCAAAAGTGGTCCTTTTACTTTAAAAATTATCTTTATTTTACATATCCGGGGTATGGAGACCTGACCACAAAACACACAACCCAGAAAAGAATTCACAGAATTTCGCTTTTATAGGTTTGCCTATTGACTCATGAGAATCACTTCTTATTTTTATATACCTTCACAGTTTTATGAGTGCATTATTTTTTATTTTGGTAAACTGACCTTTTCCTCTGTAGTGGCAGTGTCCTCATGTTGCTGTTTCCATGAAGGTTCGTCTGCGGACTCCTTCTCTTCCATGACTTTGCCTGGATCAGGTTTATGGAGCCTATAATATATCAGAAAAAAACAAACAAAAAAAAACAAAAAAAAAACAGAAATCACAAAGATTTTAGAACAAAATTAAACATTATATCAAGTTGCTGGATTAAACTGGCAACACTGATATGAGTTTAAGCTTACTATAACATAAGGCTGCCACTGTGACAGCTTACATGGTGAATCCACAGTAATAAAAAGGAGCTGATGATACTCTCACTGTTTGTATTTTATTGATTTATAACTTAAGAAGCTCTTGAAACAGTAGTCTGATGTCTTTGAAACTTCAGCCATGTTTAATATGTGCATGTATGAGTATAATGTATACAGAAGATATGAGATTACATACAGAAGATATGTTAGCACAGCAGGCTTGCCCCCGGACTGTTCAAACCTTTTATTTGTGAGGGGCAGCCAATCAGAAAAGAGGTGAGGACCTAAATAGACTTGTTTCAGACAGCAGCTAATCTGAGGGGGCAACACCAAGGTCCAGTGTAAGAGAAAAAACATCCTGAAATCATCTGAATCATGCAAAGCTACTCAAGAAGAATAAAAATATAGATGCAGGTGTAAATAAGAATCTAACCATTATTCACTATACATGTTGCAGGCAGTGATGAGGTTTAGTTGGAAATGGTAATGCACACACATACACACTGAAACAATTCCTGACTTGGGGAGAAGCTGAGAACAGTTTGTGGGATTCATTCAAACTCCACATGGACCAGAAGGGCCAGGAATGGTTTCAGTTATACCTTAAACTGTCCACACAGTGGTTACAGTGCTAAGTACAGTGTGGCTCTCACTGCAGCAGCTATTAACTTCAATCTGGTTTGAATCACTGTGGCTACCACTGACACCTGAGTGCTTGTGTGTTGATGCATGTGCACGAGCGTGCATGCATGCAAGACAGAGCAGTATTAAAGGCAAGCCCTGCAGGTTTATCTGGTTTATCTCTGCAGCTGTTTACAACATTAGACAGCCTGTAATTACCTCTGTGCTCCATTCAGTCTGCTCGCCCTGCATGTCACCGTGTTTCAAGGTATATCTAACTATTAATGTTGTGCTGTATAATGTATCACAGCCCACAAAAAAGACACTACAGCATTTAAACGGTTAATATAGTTCATCTAATAAAAGCGTTCGACCTGGCTGGAATTGCTTACCTCGTAGAGGTTTCCTTTTCCTCACTGTCGATTGCCTGATGCTTTCCTTTAACATCAACTTGTCGGCCGCTGCTTCCATCTTCCATCCCCTCCACCTCCTACAGGTAAAGAAAAAATGGAGGGAGTAGTATCTTAAAGGCTAGGTTTAAGTTTTTAAACACATACTTCTGAAGTCCTACGGCAGCTGTAAAGGATTTCTTGATATAGGAAGTAAATAAATGAATGTGGCTCCACCTCCCTCTACTTGAGAAAAGCAGTTAACCCCTGTAACGCAAACAGGGTGTTCCAGGAAAAAAAGATAAAAGGAAGTATGTGATGTCAAAGAGCAGGTATGACATATTCATCCACCCTGTGTACGTGCAGTGTGAGAATTAAAAAGAAAGGGATTAGCTGGGCTATATTTTTCATGTTAATGCAAGGGAACCGCTGAGGCAGGTTTCTTGTTTCTGTTGTTTCCAATTCTGCTCGTGTGCTTATTTTAAATGCTAATAAAACAGCATTAAGAAAGTATGACTACCTTTAGACTGAACTATGGTAACTCTTCACCCAAGCTCGTAAACTAACAGGTTGTATATGTTGTGTTGTAACATAATAGCATCAATTTACTCATCAAACTTGCCAAGAAAGCAAAAGTGAAAGGATTTACATGTCTTCCTTTATATTTCTGTCTAATCGCCAGATTTATTTTTTCTTTAAAACCTGCAGCTGTGTGGGACCTTTGTCAGTAAACACTTTACTGAGCCCTGAGGTGACCTGGTGAAGATAAGTGGATCTCCAGCAGTGAGGAAATTAAACTCCATCGAATTAGACAATTAGAGGCTCCTTACAACCTAGGCGATGCTCACTGATTACAAAGAAGGAACACATTTTTCCACCGGGGAGGATGTGCTGCCTTCTGCAGAACAGATTTTTATACATTCAGGAAATTCAGTCAGGAAATTCTAAGTATAAATGAGCTGAATCTCTCTTTTATTGCTTCCATCCGAGCTGGAAGACATGCTGTAACCTCACTCCTACTCTGTCTCTTCTGATGGAGACACTGACTCACCTGCTTTTTTCAACAGGAGGAGAAATGAGTGATAAGGGAAACGTGAAGACAGAAAATGGGCATCTGTCACTGCTGCTGACAGTCGAGTGAGGCATCTTAAAATAACAGATCTAGGTCAGAAGAACGGATGGAGGTGGGGGTGGGGGTGTACTGCGATTTTCAGTTGGGCTCCCAAAGAGAGGCTACTTTCCCAGCAATTTTTTGGTTCAAGCAACTTGCTGCCATCTGGGTTCACTTGGCCAGTCTTGGCACCGTCCCTAGTTTGCAGGCCCAGTTAGAACAGCTATTTACATCAAACATCATGAAACCTAACCACTTCTGAAACCTTAGCAGCCTGGGAAAGACCAACACTCAGTTCATTTTAAGAACACATGTGAAACTCTCCCATAGGATTGAGGACATTATCGACATTTTTGTTTGAGTGCATCTTTTTATTTTTCCACCACCAATTCCACTGCCTGTGTGAGCTGAAGTCATGACTTTGGCCAAGCATGCATCCAGGTGCAGGACATCTATGTGCTGTATGGAAAGGCTCAATTTGTTATTAATGGTGCAAACCTCCAGAGGGGAGTTGGAGTGCACACCAGCTGCATTGGAAAGCTGCTGTGAGTAAATCAGCAAGGGGGCTGAAAGGGATAAACCAAAGACAAACGCACCCCAAAAAAAAAAAAAATACACATACATTGCAGTACATACGGCAACTGTTCTACCACTAAACGAACAGCTGATTGCCTAACCTTGATTTCTAATCTGTCATCTAAAGCTCATAGCCTTTTATTTTCATGAATGAATTTGATGTTTGTTCCCTAAAAAGGTGCCAGGTCCTTAGAACGAGGCAGTAGAAACAGATTTATGTGTCCACAACAAGTGCAAATATATACAAACAGACAAATGCATGAAGTGAGACAGATGGCAAACCAAAATACCGTACCTTAAAAAGAGACACGCTGGAAGTTGCACTTCTCTTGGAGTCCACAGGCTTTTTATCAACTAAAATGAGCACAGCGAATAAAAGAGTGAGAATTAATTGCTCCACAAGTGTCTTTCTTTATGCCAGTGCAGTAAAAAACGATCAGTGGGAGTGTATGCAAGGGAAAATGATTCAGGACAGTGTGTTTGGCACAGAAAACATTGCATTTTTAAAGCTTGTACAAAAGTAGACATAACAGGTAATTTAATGCACTACACACCAATCTCTCTCTTGGTCAAAAAAAATAGTCATGTCAAAGGGCTCATGAGCTCCACTGGCTTCAGGGGGAGCCTGAAAAGTCAGTGGGAAGCGCCACAGTGAATTCAGCGAGTCTTTCAATAATGCAACAGTTCAACATCTGATGAGAGGAATACGTTTACTTGTGCATATGCGTTAGAGAGAAATAGAATTGGGTCTCATGTGAACTCCCTAATCAAGAACAGCCCTGAGAATATAATCTTCTAATCTTAACAAAAGGAAATCATTAAATTTTACAATACTCCAAAACAACACACACTTCTTAAGTCAACGCACTTAAATTCATCCCCGCACTCTAAATCTGTTTTTATCGCCCCGACAATGTGACATTTTTACGCCAAAATAACAGCACGTCTCTGACAAACTCACTGTTTCCAATGAAAGAAAAAATAAAAAGAAAGCTCCACTTTTAATTTATGTTTCCGAGCTCCCCTGCTGTCGAGAACATAGTGTTTCATCATCTGAATTAAATCATGCTAAGCATTGCAGACTAGTGACTCCACTCAGACTGTACTCTTATAGCTTTGACTTTAGTCCAGTCTTTAACATCATCACCCATCCAAGATCCAAACTAGAGAGAGGGAAAAAAAAACTTCCACTGAAGTTTAAAGACTCGTCAGGTAGAGTTTCTTACAAGACTGCGATCTTTGTTCTACTGTTGATGCCCAGGTCAAAGGCTCAGGTCAAATGTAAATAACAGCCAGGCACTACTACTTTTAGCCGCTCCCTTGTTATTGGGGGTCGCCACAGCACATAGCTCCAGATGTTTGACACCAGATGGCCTCTCTGACACAACTTCAAAGCAAATTTCTGTCACTGTCTGGAATTAAACCAGCAACCTTCTGCTTCTGCTTGTAAACGATCACACTACAATACCAGGGAACATCAAAACATCAGATTTGTAAAATCAAACTTGCAGCAGAGGTGATGTTTAGCCAATATCAGCAAACATCAAATGGAGTTTATTTACTGTGGTGGGCATCACCTATTTTGTAGAGTTTAATAATTATGTGGGTATCAACAGTGCTGCATCTTGGTTAGGTATTAAATTGAACCAGCTAGCTGTTTGCATACATGCATTACTGACTTGATGAGAGGTCAGAGAAACCTTTGATGTAAATATGAGAGGTGTTCTGCCTGAGAATCGACTCTTCTGCCAACATATCACTTTTTAATGTTATTCTGTGAATATTTTGTTCCCAAAATCAAGATTGAAATGAGCTGTTTAAAGCTATAACATGGTTTAACTGAAATAACATAAGTAATGGTCATGTAATCCTGTTGTTTCCCAGCTGGGGTACATTTAGCTGGGAAACACAATGATTCAGTGTCCTGTTGGTGTTGACAGAAAAGAAAAGTCACTCAATACTGAAGAACATGGCAGTTTGAGACAGTCAGCAGAATACTGCCTGCAGCTCGTTTCATGCTGGGTTTTAAATTTCAAACCCTCTCATTACAGATCAGACCGAGTTCACTGGAGAGAAGTTACAGCTGGTGCAGTGAATAAAAGCAACACCAGTGATAGCCAGTTTGTGTGTGCACCTCAGTCAAATACACTATGGACACAATAGTGCTATCATTTATAATTTATGCCTGCAGTGCACCTTTTACACTGAGCAAGTCCAGGTTAAAATTTGTTATATGTTAAAATGAAAACAATCATGGGAAGAATATATTTAGCTCCATTTCTCTTCTCTAACATTTGATTTTCATGATTAAATAACAACTTTTAATTAAATCTAAAGCTAACTTCCAGAATTCAAGCACTAAAAAAAACAAGGAAACATGATCATTGTGTGTGCCAATAAGATGCTACACAACATTACTCTGCTGTGAAACACTAAAGTAACTGTTTTGCTCACCGCACAATTCTGAAAACTTTCACCTTCTACTTTCTTTGTCTAACCCAGCACTTACACTTATCTCTAAATACAAGGTAACCAAACGGAAGGGACAACAAACATGTAAGCAGAGAAATACACGGGTAAGTGGGCCAACCATGGACAAAGAAAGGCATGGTCACAGATTGTTGCATGCATCCACACTAAAACACCTCAAGCACTTATCTGCACAATGTCATACAAACACACCTTTAAACATCATGTTACCTTTTGCACAACGTTTCTGTCTTTTGCACAACCCACTGTGATTTTTGCACTTTTCTATTTTTTTATTTTGTGTCTGTATCATTCTGTTCTGTCTGGTGTTGCACTGGTTATTTGCAATTTTTGCACACTTTGCACTTTATGTAGTCCTGCCTTGATTGTCTGTTATGTGTAGCAGGATGGTCTTGAAGAAACGCTGTCTCGTTTCACTGTGTATGGTACAACTGCACATGCTTGAAATAACAAAGCCACTTGACTAGACTTGAAAAAAAGTGTTTTTGTTTAAAATGTGGCATTTATACTACATTTATGGCTAGCATCCTACTTCCTGTATTTCTTTCACATCCACTAACAACAGTCACTAAACTGGACCTACAGACCGTGTTTATGCTGTTGATGCCTTTTGTACCATTTTAACAAAACATCTTAAAAGAAACAAACAATGTGCTGCTTGGTACAGACCATCTAAACAGGTTTATGCTTCAGTTTTAATAAGTAAAATTATAGTATTTTATCAGTCTGATACTTAGCATCAAAGCAAAGACTGTACATGTGCCTGTGCACTGCTAAGGCACATAAATGGTTTATGAATTCCTTGCTAACCAAGTTTGCTGGCATTAGCTGATGACTTAGCACTCCACCCTCTCATTCTAATATAGAGGCTTCCAGATGGCAGCAGCCCAAATGCTAACAATAAAGTGTATAATTCAAAGTACAAAACCACTGGATGATATAAAGTATAAAAAGGGTTATCAGCTAATAAACTTGTTTATATTGTCAATTATATCAGTTAGTAATATTTAGAGGAGAATAATAAGTAAACAGAAGATAAAAAATTACTTCTCCATAGCTTCTTTTCCACAGTGGACACAAATAATAATCCTTGTAACTATACTTGTATGTAAGATATGTTTCTGTGTTTTATCTACACAGCTTGGACACAGCTTTAGTTTGTAAAGCTAGCTGGTTAGCTGTCTCATCAAGTAAATGACAAACAGCTTCTCTATTTTATTTATTTATTTATTGGAAAAAAATATCAGTTTAGAAAACCTAAAGCAATGCTTTTTTAAATTATACATCAACCACAAACTGAGCAAAGAACATTTCAGATGTATTTTTCTTCACTTCTCGATAAAAGAGTATTAAAAAGCCAACGTCTATAAATCAGGAAGGTAATCTGACATCAGCAATGAGCTTAGTATTCCCTTCACACTGAGTAATAGAACTTGAATGAGCTTAGTGATAAGGCAGTGTGTGGAACAATAGAGGATCAGAGCGCAGTGAAAGTACGAGTTCATCTTACCCTTTGGCTCCTCTGTGTCATCAGTTTCCAGCAGCCTGGGAGACAGAGAGAAATGAGGTCACTCTCTAATGCAATAAAGAGATGACAGAAGTTACACGTTTTTTACAAGCGATGCTGGCAAACAGCACAAAATATATGTACATCCCTCTTAAATACACTATTATAGTCCACATATGCACACTTAAGTCTAAAATAAATTGCAAGAACTGCAGCAAGCAACTTACTGCGTCTCATATGACATAAATCCATTTACTCATGCTGCTCTTCCACTCCCGCGTCAGCTATGATATAACAGCAAAGCCTTTCTTGCATCTGAAGATATGGCCATTCATTTCCAAGTAATGGGCGTTAAAAATGGATGGGGACAGCAGCTGCCTGTGGGGTAGCAGCAGTGATGTAACAGGAGGAGGGGAGAAATGCTTTAATACAATAGAGGACATCTGCAACGGGTCAAAGGTTATTGGAGAGAGGGAAGGCAGAGGCTACACAAACCCTAGTTCATTTCAGATGCATCATTCAAGTACATCCCACTGTGCTTCATTAAAAGCCCGCAACCACACAGTGTTGTGAGAAAGTGAACCTCAAGGTTCACACGATAAACAAGCAGCAGCAAGCGCTTACAATTAACTGCATCACAGAGTGCTTCTTGAGAACGAGGGAGTGTGGGTTTAGCCTCTACTTTAAGAGTCTAAACTCTTAAGTTCAGTTGTTCCTTCAGTGTACATTTGTCACCAAATACTTTCTGCATAGTGGAAATAAAAGGAATCTGAGATAAGCAAAAGTAGTAGTTTTAAGCAAATAAAGCTGATTAATTGGCTGGTTTCTTCCAGCCCTCTTTTCCTCAAAGACAGACTTGACACAGTTGGATTATTATCAGGATTTGATAATCTTCCTAAAGATATTTTGAGCAAATATGGCTACAGATGAGCAAGTGCCAGGTACCATACTATAATCAAATGTCAGTTTATGAAAGCTGCCTATGCCCATCAGTCCAAAATTGATCGCATGCCACACCCAGGCATAAAGGATGTTTGTTTCCTCCTTTTTCTTATTAAGTAAGCAGTATATCTTCTTAGCTGACACTTAATGTTAACCGTTTACATGCACAGGAGCTACAACTACACTATGCAGCTGCAAAAGGGAACAAAACAACATTTAAACGTTGGTTTGGACTCCGTATTATTTCGCTTTTCCCTGTACTGCTGTAATTTGTGAGCCTAAAACTACTACAGAAGTGTTTTTTATTGCAGTTTCTTATGAGTAATTCTTGGCTTGGATTTGTTTACTACACAAACTTTTGTCAGTTCTTAACAGCCACGCCTCCTGATAGTTTTGTGAAGACATCATGCTACACTGGCCAATATATTCTTTGGCCTGTATTTATGTAGTTAACAATAAACTGAAGTGATGCAATACTCAAAAATCTCTGGCTGCAGAGATTTAGATTTAACACAGACGTATAAAACCTATGTTGTGTGTAAGCAAACCACGAACCCCTCTGAAACTATTCTCCGTCACAACATGACGTGCGCCTTCGTAGATCTGCAACCATACGTCAAGTCAACACAGCTCCAAACTATTTTGAGTGGCCTGTTCAGTACCGTTGATTCCTCCTACGCATTCCCAGCTATATTTTCTTTTTTGGGGCCCCAGTTTTTGATTGGATCAATGAGAGAATGATCATAACATTATAATGTAAGGACTCACAGATGTCAGCTCATTTGTGGAAGGAGATTGCCAAAACTATTGGAATGGAGACAATGGATTGTACAAAGAAATGGAAAAACTTGAGGGACGAAGATGTTTGTTTCTTGAAAACAAACAAAAGAAAAGAAAAATTGACCACAACAAAGAGTGGGAACGCAGGAGGAAAAAAGTCCCAGCACTTTGTTTCTGCTGTGGCTGGCAGCACATAAAACATCAGGACAGGACCACAAGGTAATTAACACATAATGCACCTCACACAAGTATGAATGCTGGTAATGGTGACGGCAACTTGCGTAGATTATGTTGTAGACTCTACAATGATTTGCTGCAGAAGTCCAAATCGGTCATTACTCTGACTTACATGTATTTGTAGACTATGTAAACCTCATTGTTTGATCTCGGACAGCCCATTTTTAACAACCAACCTTATAAGTCTCAGAAACACATCACCTTTGCTACCCACACGTTGACAGTCAGCTGAAAGTAGATGAAGAAAACCGGAATGCAGTTTAGTGGGCGAAAAGCAAAACAGAGGGGAACTTTCCAATCCAGCTGGGCACTTGTGTAATCAAACAAACACTCACAGTAAAAGTGTTCACATAAATTTATGTTTAGCTTTGTGTGCATCATATTAAATTATATCATGAGAGAAAATGAAATAAGAGCATAAAAACAACACTTGTGGCTGCAGTGTTGTTAAAAGCTGTAATTTTATTACATCTGATTTGTGTGCTTAACTTTTTGAGGCATTTGTCTTTGCTGTGGCTCAGTACTGTAAACAGTCCTTAGCCTTAATCCCAATTCTGTTTTGTTTATAAAGAGGTACCAACCCCATCATGTCAGTAGCATTAATAGTTGTGGTTTGTTACACATGCTTGATAGCATAGAGCACTTTCAAACCAAGATTACTATGACCTATGCAGCAACTTGTCCTGGAAATTCTATGTATACTATCCCAAACTCCTATGATAACATACACACACACACACACACACACACACACACACACACACACACACACACACACACACACACACTAAAAAATAGATACTGTTGACTTTTAACCTTATGTAACTGAATATAACTTGTGGTAACTAAATGGTTGCCCAGAGTGTTTCACACTCACCATCATGTTAGATTGCACAGTTTACCTGATAGGAGGCAAACTTTCTGGCAAACAGTCACAGTCTGGACTGAGAGCAATCGATCTCAGAGAGATTAAAGGTTTGCAAATAACTGATGTCTAATTTATCAATTCAGACAGATTGCCAGCATGTTGCCATCAGTCTGAACGAGTCTTTGTCAATGAGCACAATTCAAGGGGACTGGACTCAATTGGCAGCAAGCTGGTTGTATTCTGGTTATATTCCTATAGAATGAGAAGGATGCTGAGGGCAAATGTAGTGGTTACATTTGCATTTAGCACAGGTCATTGCTATGTTATCAGAAACAGATTGTTGAAGTGAAGTTGAAGTTGGCAACTTGAGCTCATTTGTCTGCAGTCAGACTGATATTAGACTGACTCTGTCTCAATAGCAGGCTTTAGTTACAGTGTTGACAATCACATTTTGCATCAAAATAATAGCTGAAGCGAACGTTATCTTATCGAACATAAGAGATATCGACAAAGTTTAACTTGAGGACATAATTTAAAGTTGATATCACACAGTGAGGGAAGTACTGTGTTGGCGACTTTCAAGCCTTTGAGTCGCCGAGCAGCTGAATAGGGGAATAATGTTGACGCACCCGCTGTTTAAAACGTTAGTCAAAGTTCCAAGTTAAAACTCCTTTATTTGTTATCAAATCCTTAAAATCCGTAGAAAAACAGTGATCAAAAACATTCCAAGCTTGAGCGGTCAG